AAGTTATTCCACTGTAACAGATTTTGCTAAGTTGCGCGGACAATCGACATCACAACCGCGTAATACTGCTATATGATAAGATAAAAGCTGCATTGGAATAACGGTCAGAATGCCTTGAAGGCAATCGACTGTGCGCGGTATCTCTAAACTGCGCGAAGAAAATGCTTTTGTCTCCTCGTCACCCTCTTCGCATATAATAATTGGGCGGCCCTTCCGAGAAGTGACCTGTTGTAACGCATTCATGCATTTTACATAAACTGGATCACGTAAAACAATCATTAAAACTGGCATTTCATCATCAACTAAAGCCAAGGGTCCATGCTTTAGTTCACCAGCTAAAATGCCTTCACTATGCATATAAGTTAACTCTTTTACTTTAAGAGCGCCTTCTAAGCATGTAGCAAAATTATACCCACGACCCATTATAAGTAAGGATTTATGTTGGTAAAGATCTTTAGCCATTTCAGAAATTTTCGAATCAAGCTTTAAAACCTTGCGAATTTGATCGGCCAAAGTTGAAAGAGCTTCGATAATTTCCAAACGTCTTTTTTGCAACGAAAGCCGATCTTCCGACATAACCAAGGCAAACATGACTAAGGATATAAACTGAGAGGTATATGCTTTAGTAGAGGCAACCCCAATTTCTGGACCTGCGTTAATATGTACTCCACAGTTTGATTCTCTACAAATGCTGCTACCCACGGTATTTGTAATACCAACAATAAGTGCTCCTCTGTGCTTACAATAGCGCAAGGCCATCAAAGTGTCCGCTGTCTCGCCGGATTGCGATATAAAAAAGCAAACATCGTCGCGAAATATCGGAGTATTGCGATCCAGGAAATCTGAAGCCAGTTCCACCATAACAGGCAGCTCGGTAAGCTCCTCCAGCAATTGACGTGTAGCAACCGCACTATGATAGGACGTACCGCATCCAATTAACATCAAACGACGGCAACGTTTTATTTCCGGTATGTATTCTTTAATTCCTCCCAATACTACTGTTTTCGTATCAAAACGCACGCGTCCTCTCATGGTGTTAACAACTGATTCGGGTTGTTCATATATCTCTTTCAGCATAAAATAGTCATAGTTGCCCTTCATAATCTGTTGTATTTCCATTTTTAACGTAATTATTTCTCGAGCATGAGGATCATCCAGGCACTGCTTAAGACGATGAATGCTTAATGCACCACCTTTAACGGCAGCCACGTCATCGTCCTCCAAATAAATAACCCTATTGGTATGTTCAATAACTGCGGACGCATCGGAAGCAAAGAAATATTCAATTTCCGTGTCTTCTAGAGGAGTGAACTCTGAATGAACCATTGCATGTGGTATCAAAGACATCAAAGGAGCATCGGAAACGTGAGGCCGATGCTCTTTGGCGTACAAGATGGGTACATGATCAGTCGCCAAACGAGTTTTCGTTTTGATGCCAATCAATAAAGGAGAGCCGCGGCGTGAAGCAACACATTCCCCGGGAAAGTGACGCGACTTAAAGGCTACAGCAAAGGCTCCTTCCAAATGTTGTATAGTCAATTCAACCAGTTCACGGAATGCATAATTCGGATGCTGTACCCAAAGATGATGAACTAGCTTAGCAATGACTTCAGTGTCAGTTTCGGATTCAAAAATATATCCACGCAGCTCTAAGAGCGTCTTCACGTCCTTGTAATTTGTTATAATGCCGTTGTGAACAATAACAAAACTATTACTAGGGTCTGAACGCTGCGGATGAGAATTAACCTCAGAAGGCACACCGTGTGTCGCCCAACGTGTATGTGCAATGCCAACATGAATTGTTAGAGGCAGAGAAAAGCGTTCATCGCTTATTTCAGCAATAGCGTCTTCTAACATCTTCACTTTGCCACTTTTTTTCAACATGAGTATATCGTTCGCTTTACCAGGGGCATCGACAGCCACTCCCGTTGAATCATAGCCACGATATTCCAAGCGTTTAAGCCCATTCACCAACAATTCTAACACTTCATGAAGTGTTTTCGGCGTCATATAGTTCATGTAAGCAAAAATACCGCACATTCTGATTACGCTTCTATTTTTTTAACTAAAATACCAAAAAAGTATTCCGCTAATATGTCGCAAACTGCACTTGGATTTTAAAAGTAAGTAATCAACAGTAAGTTTATCAGACATTAATCGATAACAGTAATAATAATAAAGTTTTTCTTTTATCTTGCTAAAGAATTCTGCAACGTAGTTGTAGCAAGCATTTCCAAAATGTAGCCGCGTATGCCAGCTTAAGTGAAGAATGAAAAATTCTTGTAAATAATTCACGTATTCCAGACTTTTTCAATGGAACATATATATTTATATTTGAATTTTACAAATTCCGCATTGAATTTGTTAAAATAATGTGTAAAAAATATGTAATGTAAACAAAGATAAAACACGTCAATCAGTAATGCCACGTAGACACATTTCACAAAATTTTTAAGCGGTTTTATATTTACGAAAAATTGAAACAAAGATCCTTCTATGTATGCAATAAAAACTTGTAGATTTAATAAAAATATTTATAATAAAAAATTAAATATAATTCAAGTCAACATAAATTTTCAAATTATTGTATTATAGATATTCTAAGAATTTCTTCTCGCGTTACATAAAGTCCACTTCACTATAATAAGTTCTATTTTGTAGATTGCTTTATCGTTTTGTCAAAATTCAAATTATAAAATAATTCGGAAAAGGCTTAGAAATTGTTTAATAGTAAAGCATAAAAATATTTACATCTAATGGATAAATTTGTCACCAGCAAACCACAAAGACTTGCAAAATTAGTTATTGAAAGTCTGACACTTTAAAGAATTAAAACCGTTACAAATTTGTCGAATATGGAGATAAGATACAGAAAAAAATATTATTGCGCTATAAAAGAACGAAGCCTAAAGTAGAAA